CACTAGATACGTATAGACTTGCTAAACACTAGATACGTATAGACTTGCTAAACACCAGATCAGTATAGACTTGCTAAACACTAGATAAGTATAGAGAGTCTATAGACTTGCTAAACACTGGATAAGTATAGAGTCTATAGACTCACTAAACACTAGATAAGTATAGAGTCTATAGACTCACTAAACACTAGATAAGTATAGACTTCTAGATAAGTATAGACTTGCTAAACACTAAGTATATATTAGACTTAACTAGCAAATTGTATGTAGCGCATAGTACGCGGTGCCTTGGCGCAGGATGTCTCACACAGAAGACTGCCAGGCATCATACACAGTACGTTTGCCAAGCTCCGTCAACGAATGCCAAGCATACTATTTACTTAGTGCATTTGCCAAGCATCATCAGTGAATGACAAACATACTATTTATGTGCTATTTATGTGCTATTTATGTGCTACTTGCGTGCAATTTATGTGCTATTCACATAGTATTCACATAGTATTCACAGAGTATTGACATAGTACGTTTGCCAAGCATCCTCCACGAATGCCAAGCGAACTATTCTCATAGTTTGTTTGCCAAGCATCCTCGATGAAGTAGGACATAAGCGGACTATACTCTGCATAGCACACGATGTACTTAAGTTATGTCGAGGATGAAAACTATGCTTTCGGACTATTGTCCAGCATAGTACGTCTAGTACTTTACTACACAGTCCGTACAAAGCTTGTGCCTTATGGCACAAACATATGGAGAGTGTGGAGAGTTGGCTGTACATTGCAGAGTACATAGTTGGCTGCACATTGCAAAGTACATAGTCCCATAGTCCCTACATAGCTTGCTGTTGACTCTACGTTCCAGAGCTGAGAGCACCTACCTATTCTTCTCTACATAGCTTGTGCCTTATGGGCCAAGCATAGTATTTGTATTTGCGTGCGATATTGTTGCATTGCCAATACATAGCTAGTGCCTTATGGTGCCACACATACTATGTGCAAAGTGCGCAGTGTAGTGTTGCGTAGTCACCGCATAGCTTGTGGCGATATGATAGACAGTACTACAGACATAGTATTTGTATGCTATAGTGTTGTACGAATAGACATATATTTCCAGCTCTCGAGAATCGAGTGCTACATATGGTATTCGACAGTCTGCGGCAGCTAGCTACGATCTTCCCCTGAACACAAGCACCCTGATTAAGAATGTATACACGCTCTCTTTCTGGTCGGATACGGTTGTGATGAGGGTGCGCTGCATTTGAGAAGACCATAGTACATTAGACTTTCGGAGCAGCACGCTATCTTGTAACCTTAGCAGCGTTTCTGTTTTTTTTTTCTTTTTTTCTCCTTTTTTGTTGTTGTTGATGTTAACAGTTAGACTCATCAAAGAGACTCGTTGAATAGCGTTTTGGGGGGGACGGGTTGTATTTGCACAGCCTGATACTGTTAGTGCACAGGTCTTTCTGGAATGAATCTGACCGCAATCAGTGACAGGTTCTGGACAAAAAAGTCCGAGCGGGAGTCCTGCCTTAGTGGATTACGCTTTTTGAACAGTGTTGCAATCAGACTCGCTTTCTTCTTCACTTCGCACACATGCAAACAGATGGCAATTCACACTGGCGCCAAGCGCCCACTCAAAGCTCAGAGATATGGAAACCTAGAGGCTAGAACACAGTTCAGATGCAAACTCGCTTCAACATGCTATGTCGCATCAGCGCCTGTACGTCCCAACTCTCGACACTGTGTCCAACACCACTGTTTGCGCACACTCAACTCTGGATCACCCTGAATGAATACCCCACACGCGCTCACTGCATCACACACACATACACACACGCTAACACCTAAGGCTAGCTATGGCGGCTCTGGCCGCCGGCTACTACTAACTACGGCGCACTAACTTCTTCAAGCGCACTTCGACCTCGGGCATCTGCAGACCACCTCGCACAAGACGCTCGGGCAGCGCTTCGGCATGGCTCTCGCAGGAATGAATGAATCGCTGGACGCTGCCTCTTGATTTATACTTCTGTAAGTCGGTCTGCCCTTTTCCACCGGGCCCGTGTTGCACACAGTCCCTCATGGTACTTGCTGTCTGTACAAAGTGAGACTGGGACTGGGTACCGCTGACTAAGCGAAGTTGGACTCACCACTTGCCCACTTGCCTCTGGTCTGCTGTGTATAACGTGAGAAGAGACTTGAAAGGCCACTTCCGGACCTTCCGGAAGTTTGCGGACTTAGCCTTTCAGGACTGTAGCAGCTACGACCTCGACCTTTCAGAACTTCAACAACTATGACCCCTATGCAGGTATGACCCCTACTTCGACAGGTCTAAGGTTCAAGACCCGACAACTACTCAGACCTACGACAGCCAACTTTCAACTACTAACACACAGGTCACGGGTTCAAGACACACAGGGTCGACTCGATACCATACACAGGTAAGGTAAGGTAAGGTCTGGGGATCGAGCCCTGGGATCCGCATCTGTGACTGCAAAAGGTGAAAACCGTTTCAGTGTTTAGCTGCCACTGAGATATGTTGTCTTTGTTTAAAAAAAAAAAAAAAAAAAAAAAAAAAAAAAAAAGAGAGAGAGAGATGTGGTCTAGCCTCATACCTAAAAATAGACTCTCTGCTCATCTAATTGCATCTGGATTCGTACTTGGGGGTCTATATTTCGACAGTTCATGATTGTACCAACTGAGCTATGACTCTCCGGCAGCCGAAAGGTTTATTAGCTTTATAAATGGGTTGGGATAATGTACTCGTCAGATTTTTGGCTGCGGCAACTTTGGCCAATCAGGCTTGGAAAAGGTGTTATTGTACCAACATGACCTGCCCAAGCCATAGTGTGTGAGCATACTATGTGCATACTATGTGCATATTATGTGTATACTATGTGCATACTGTG